GAAAACCTCTCCAAAAAAAAAAAAAAAAATGCGTGTTCACTTACCAGAGAGAGAGAAAGAGGGAAAGTGAAAAATCATAGCCTCCAGAGGGGATGGCCACACTGCATTCCCTTCTCTTCCAGTCTCCTTGGGATTTTGGGCACACACTCATTCAAGACGTGAACCATGAAGTCCACACAGAATTATTTATTCCATTCATATTTTTTATTTTTGTTACAAATTTAACTGATGCAGGAGCATCTGGACATTTAGGTCCACACTCTACTTTCAGGCTATATATTCTGTTTTGTTTTGTTTTTTTCATTGTCTTTTTTTTTTTTTTTTTTTTTTATTTTTTCCAGGAGGGGGTGAAAACAGGAGAGAGAGAGAAAGAGAGAAGGAAGATGAGAAAGCAAGCTGTCAGGTCCAGGACTCAAACCGTGGTCAGCCACATGGGAGTCCAGCTACCCTAACTACCATGCCACCTACCAGCCCCTTCTGTTTTCATAATTTGTCCTTGGTGGCCCAATTATCATGCCTGTCCACTTTGTAAATGTCCTATCTTCATCATCTTCAAGGCCTTATCTAACCATACCATCTCCTACTTTTTTTTTTTTTTTGTCTTCTTCAAGTTCTTCCAACAAGCAGAATTTATGAGGAACTTTAACTTTTGTAGAGACCACCAGCTTCTCCTGTAGCCTGAAGCTGGCCTTCCCTCTTACTAGCCCTAAAGTTATATCCAAAATAATTAATAATTGCTGGGCTTCATTGCACCACAGTCACCATTTCTACAGGTTCCCTTCATCTTCACATCAAATTGAATCACTCACATTTAATTTAAATTGGTCTCAAATACCTGCATTGTTTACATTTTGACTTTTAAATATTCATCTAATTATGTGGACTTTTTTGTAGCTTCTTTCATGTCTCTCAAGGGGTCTATTTTTTTGTCTTCCACATGCTACCCATCTTCTACCCTCTTTCCAAGGATGAGAAGACCTGAGTACCTGCTGTCAAGATTGTAATGTCAAGACTTAGGGGGGAACCAGCAGTTAGCATAATGGCTATGTCACTGGACTCCCACATAGTCGACCGCGGTTCGCGTCCCGGACGTGGTGGCTTAAAACTCATGCCAGGTGCGTGTGCGTGCATGCCCAAGATCCAGAGAGGAGAACGAAGGAGAAGGGACTGCGGCGTGACCATCCCCCCAGGGAGGTGATTTCTCGCTTTCTGTCTCTGTCTCTCTCTGTCTGGCGAGCGCACGCACCCTATAGCGAAAATCTCTCAAAAAAAAAAAAAGAAGACTTAGGCTCTTAGATCTTATTTATCTCTTGGTAGGGATGTAAGAGATGGCTAAAGCAGTCAAGACCTAGTTAGGTCAACTACCCTTTGCCCTCTGTGTACTTTAAAAGTTACAAAAATAATTTAAAGAATTATTTAATTTAACATTTTTATTTATTATTATTTTTATATATTTCCAGAGAGATACACAGAGAGAGAAAGAGAGAGAGAGAAAGTGAGAAGCAAGCCTCCAGGTCTGGTATTCAAACTATGGTCGGCCATGTGGAAGTCTAGCACCCTTAACCATCACGCCACCTGCTGGCCCCAAAAGTTGCAAACATTTCTAAGAAATAGAAATTTTATTATATAACACAAATATCGTAACATGAATTTTAATAGCCTTGTTTTTAAAAGTTTATTTACTTCTTCCGTGAATAAGACAGAGAGACGGCACCCCCTATCAGACCCTCAACGCCACAATCCACTCCCAGTCTCAGCCAACCCTGGATCATGGACACTCATTTGTCCAGCATATCAGGGAGCTCTCTGGACTCAAATTGGGAATCTTCTCATGTAGAATTGTCTTACAGAGCATCACATTTTACTGAGTGCCACTGTCCAGTCTCAACTTAATGGGTTTTTGTTTTGTCTAGTTTTAGTTTGCTATAGGATGTGCGCACTCACTGGAAATAGACAAAGAGAGAAGGAAAATAAGAAATGCTAGGCTATGTCATGATCCTCTCTCTTCTTGGGATTTGGGGCATGCATGAGCATGCACCCAACATGATTTTCAAGCTGCTAGGTCAGGTCCTCGAACTGTACAAGTGGTCATGTGGGATCCAGATGCCTTAACCACCATGCCACAGGTTGGCCCCAATCTTGTGTTTTTTAATTTTCTACATACTCTTGGCTGATTTTCCCCAAAGGCTCTGAAAGATCTATAACCCCCTTGCTATATTTTTGTTTATATAGTCAAGCCTAACCAATAATCTATTAAGTCCTTTTTATCTTGTTCTGTTTTGTCAGTTTTGTTGGTGTAGTCCTTCATCCTTTGAGTCTAATGTTGAGTGGCTGCTATCTAGGCTTGCCCCATAGCTGTCATTTGGGGCATCTTACCACCTCTCTCCATGTTTCTGTGTTGGACCTACTACTGCTTAGATCTTAGCTTTTCTTCCTGTTTTTTGTGTTACTTATTTTGGTCAACCACATCATCTAATAATTTCCAAATAAAGTGACCATGAAAATAAGCTTTATGGCACTGTATCTGTTTAAAAGTATCAATTCTTCTCACATACCTGATTGATAGTTTAGCTAGGTATGGAGATCTATGTTGAAAATCATTTTCCCTTAGAATTTTAAAGGCATTGCCCCATTATCTCCCCCCCACCCCCGCCTTTTTTTTTTAAGAGGTTTTTGCTACAGGGTGCATGCATTCGCAAAAAAGAGAGGGACAGAAAGTGAGAAATCACCCCCCCGGGGGTATGGCCACACCAAGATCCCTTCTCCTCCATTCTCCTCTTGGGATCTTGGGCACGCACACACACGCGCCCGGTGTGCGTTTAAGCCACCGGGTCCGGGACTCAAACCGCAGTTGGCTATGTGGGAGTTCAGCAACATAGCCATTATGCTAACTGCTGGTTCCAATTTTTAAATTTTATTTTACAATTCATTTTATTTCATAAGCGAACTTGTGTGAGAGAGTAACAGGCACTCTCAACAGTGTCTGTCACATCACACTTCCATTCTTCCAGATCGCCAGATAGTCAGGATCTTGGTTGTACATGCACCTAATGTATTTCAGGTCATCTCATGATCCAGACCCTTGCTGGCCATGTGGCTTCCAGCACTGCAGATCAGTGCACTATCACCTGTACCACTGCAGCTAAGTCATGCTTCAGCCAACCCTGGATCATGGACACTCATTTGTCCAGCATATCAGGGAGCTCTCTGGACTCAAATTGGGAATCTTCTCATGTAGAATTGTCTTACAGAGCATCACATTTTACTGAGTGCCACTGTCCAGTCTCAACTTAATGGGTTTTTGTTTTGTCTAGTTTTAGTTTGCTATAGGATGTGCGCACTCACTGGAAATAGACAAAGAGAGAAGGAAAATAAGAAATGCTAGGCTATGTCATGATCCTCTCTCTTCTTGGGATTTGGGGCATGCATGAGCATGCACCCAACATGATTTTCAAGCTGCTAGGTCAGGTCCTCGAACTGTACAAGTGGTCATGTGGGATCCAGATGCCTTAACCACCATGCCACAGGTTGGCCCCAATCTTGTGTTTTTTAATTTTCTACATACTCTTGGCTGATTTTCCCCAAAGGCTCTGAAAGATCTATAACCCCCTTGCTATATTTTTGTTTATATAGTCAAGCCTAACCAATAATCTATTAAGTCCTTTTTATCTTGTTCTGTTTTGTCAGTTTTGTTGGTGTAGTCCTTCATCCTTTGAGTCTAATGTTGAGTGGCTGCTATCTAGGCTTGCCCCATAGCTGTCATTTGGGGCATCTTACCACCTCTCTCCATGTTTCTGTGTTGGACCTACTACTGCTTAGATCTTAGCTTTTCTTCCTGTTTTTTGTGTTACTTATTTTGGTCAACCACATCATCTAATAATTTCCAAATAAAGTGACCATGAAAATAAGCTTTATGGCACTGTATCTGTTTAAAAGTATCAATTCTTCTCACATACCTGATTGATAGTTTAGCTAGGTATGGAGATCTATGTTGAAAATCATTTTCCCTTAGAATTTTAAAGGCATTGCCCCATTATCTCCCCCCCACCCCCGCCTTTTTTTTTTAAGAGGTTTTTGCTACAGGGTGCATGCATTCGCAAAAAAGAGAGGGACAGAAAGTGAGAAATCACCCCCCCGGGGGTATGGCCACACCAAGATCCCTTCTCCTCCATTCTCCTCTTGGGATCTTGGGCACGCACACACACGCGCCCGGTGTGCGTTTAAGCCACCGGGTCCAGGACTCAAACCGCAGTTGGCTATGTGGTAGTTCAGCAACATAGCCATTATGCTAACTGCTGGTTCCAATTTTTAAATTTTATTTTACAATTCATTTTATTTCATAAGCGAACTTGTGTGAGAGAGTAACAGGCACTCTCAACAGTGTCTGTCACATCACACTTCCATTCTTCCAGATCGCCAGATAGTCAGGATCTTGGTTGTACATGCACCTAATGTATTTCAGGTCATCTCATGATCCAGACCCTTGCTGGCCATGTGGCTTCCAGCACTGCAGATCAGTGCACTACCACCTGTACCACTGCAGCTAAGTCATGCTTCTTTTATTAC